AGGCATTCTCATTCAATCTTCAAACCATCTCTAAGAGGCAGGTATTATTTTATCACTCCGATTTTAAAGACGAGGAAATGTATGTAACCTGCCCAAGGCCACCCAGGGAGAAACAAGAGCTAGGATCCACACTCAGGTCTCACTGCAGGGCCTTTGCTCTTAGCTGCTGTGCAAGGCTGCCCTAACAAGAGAGCCCAGGAAGATCTTACAGGGAAGACGTTCCAGTTCACGAGGATAGGGAATGACGTCTATTCTGAGCAACTAAGAGGCTTACAAAAAAGCCACATCCTGAATTTTTTTTTTCCCAAACACAAAAGTAAAACTCTGGAATGACTAACTCACTATTCTAAATTAAATACACTGGAAGACGCGCTGCTGAAAGACACGTTTTCTCTTCTCATACTCTTCCTGAAGGCTACAGGCTCACAGCTCTTACTTTAAGCAAACGTTAGTAAGATTGAATCTCACAAAATCCTGACTCTCTCCTGCCCTTACAGTGTCAGCATACTGGCTCTATCAGAACTGTTCTTCCTGAAACTTCACTAAAATCCTTCTGATCGAAGGAAGAGTTCATACGCTCCTCAGTTACTCAGATAATATACAATAAAAAGCTGTCCAGGTGTATCCTCTCCTCATACACTTAGACACTCTGAGCTACTTCTTTTGTGACCATGATTATTTCAGCCTGTCACTCTTATCCAAATACCAAAGTATGTTTAGTTACTTGTGAAGAGTATGTTAATATAATGCTAGAGTTGGCAGGTACCTTACACGTTTTCTATTGCAATTCCCTCATCTTACAGTTGAGGAGACTGGGGACTTCAAAGGTCACATGATCTCTCCAAGGTACCAAAATTAACAGTAGCAGATTTGCGCCTAGGACCTGGACCCCTCAGCTCCCGGCTGAGGCGCTGCCTACCGGTCTGGCTGCACTGTATCCAGCGGGGGCTGGGCCTGGGAGTCCGGCCTGAGGTGAAGGCTGACTGCGTCCTGGAACAAAGACATCACATCATGGAGTCAGGTTAAAAAAAAAAAGTCAAATCAAACACG